AGGCGGTGGGTAGTGGTCCGGAGCTTGGGCGGGGGGGGGGGACACAGACACTGTGGGAACCGCGTCTCCTGGCTCCGGCAGCACGCCGTGAGTCAGGGTTACAAAACACGAATACCCCGTGCCGCATAGCGAGGGGCAGTATCACCGGCTCCGCTGGCTACAGTCAGGCGACCTGAACCCAGCAGAGTAATTTCGCCTCCAGCCCTGCGGAGCTCGGGAGCGGTACGCAGCACCGGCTGGGCTCATCCTGCCTCTGCCCCCGTCTGCCCGGGCATTCCCGACCCTCTCCTTCCATCCCGAGCATCACACCAAATGTCTAAAGGGAAAAAAGACTTGCTCAATACCTGCTGCTTTTTCCACGATGAAGCAGCTAAAGCAGAAACAGCAATTATCTGGTTCAGTCTGGTGCTGCTGGCCTGGAACATGCCATGACAACGTGTTTCTTGTTTCAAAGCCTCTTTTGTACTAGGACACAGTTCAAGGGATCTTGCAATGCCTGCATTTGTAAACACACGGCACTTGCAGCTACACGCTTTGCAGATGAAAGCCAGGGCAGAGCAGAAGGGCACTTCTCCCCGCCATGGCCGTGTCACGGCCGGGGGGGGAGCGCTCCCCCTCGGCTCGGTGTCTGCAGGCGGACGTGCTGATTCAGGGACTCGGGAGCCCTGGGGCTGGTTAACCATGCGTGGTCCTCAAAAGTCACGGCACGTTCAGAAAAATGGAGTCCTGGAAAAGAGGGGAAAAAAAAAAAAGGAAAAAAAAATCACAGCAAAAAATCTGCGTCACTGCAGATTATTTTAGGCCCTGGTCCATGCATAATGCAAATAAGCAGCTCCCGGGGTAAATGCCTGTAGAAACCATCCAGTCCCATAGCACTCGGTTATAGGAGCTTTCCAAACAGGTGGTGAAAAGCTAAAATGATGTGTCTCCGTGTCCTCACCGGGGTTGGGAAGGGCCCTCGCTTTCAGGAAGGCTCTTACCCTACCTCCACGGGGCCGGTATAAAACAGGACTGAGACATTAAAAAAGCCAAGAGCATTTCTTTCCTTTTGAGGCAATCCCGCGCTCGTATTAACCAAACCACGCTCAGCATCTCCACGAGCCCCTTTGATCTGCTCCGAAGCGGGCTGCCTCCTTGCGCTCACTTTTCACGCACGCTGGCTTTATTTTTTTGCTTTTTCTAAAAAATCCTTGTATCCTTGCCTTACTTCAAGGAGTCGCTCGGGAAGCCCTATTTATGGGTTGAAATGCTGCTGAAAGAGTTATTGCCATGTTATTCAGCTGTTGTGCCAAGCCTGCATGGAGATCGGGTTTCTGCTGAAAGGGTGCCAGGCACGTCTTTTTCCAGGAACCAGCAGCCGTATTTAGCCTCCGGCTGCACATGAAAGACTGCAGTCGGAAACGTGACATTGTGTCAACATTTGAGGCAGGTCAGAGCTGGGTGAGACCATGAAAACAAGGCCGGGGAACTCAGCACGCCCCGCCGGCGCGGTGTGGCGCGGCACGGGCTGCCACGGCCTGGCGCCATGCCGGGGGTCGGGCCCTTCCATCACCTTCATCCCTCGGACC